CCCAACAATACACATTTTCCTCACCAGCATCCAGAGCCAGCATTACTTTGAAATCTGACCAGTGTGATGTGAACAGTGAAAACAAACTAAAAATGTGTTACTAATACTGACCTTTCCATCCAGTGAACCAACATGTGCAACCAAGTAATTTTAATCCCAAAGTGTACAGGTCATGCAAAATCAGCACCTCCCTGGAAAAAATCCTGACCAAAATAAACAGCAGCCTGCAGAGCTCAGCAGGTCGTGTCACTGCGAATGTTCCTGTGCACATGAGCATTGACAAAAGAGAGTCATCCAGAATCCCTGATTCCTCTCAAAGCACATGCTTAGGGTAAGTGTGACAGCACAACCACAGTGACAGCCATGTGATTAACAGATTAAACCCAAAAACCTCCTTGTGCCTGTCTCACTTCTCACCACTGCTGGTTACCACAGGTCTGCAGCACAGTCACCTCCTCCCAACTGATACTTGTTCCAAATGCCCCAAAACAGAATAAAATTTCCTCCTGAAGCAATCCTTATCTCCCTCTTGGAACTCCTTATCCACATCTGTATCTATTGACTCTTCTTGCAGCTGTAGCTCTGAGTGCAAAACTGCAGCTGGATTTTTTTTCAGTAGCACTAAAACTGCCTTGAAAGCCACCACCTCTCTCACCAAGATCTTCCCAACTCAGATATTCACATATTCTCTCTCACTTTTATGTGAGTCATTACAAAGGTGTTAGACCTGATCTTCAAAGCCTTTTACAGGACCAGGTGAGGTAACCTCAGGTATGCACAGGGAAGACTCCAGCTCAGAGTCAAGGAATTGGTAGCTTGTGTTCTGGAATGGAGGCAAAAATTCCACAAGCCCAGGATCTTAATAATGGAGCTTCCTTCCAGAAGAGATTAATGCAATTTAACACTTCCAAACCCACATGAGTTTCAACAGATTCATGGTCTCTCAGACTTGTCTCCCCAGTACAAGAACATACTGGAGCAAGCCCAAGCATTCCAATGTTGTTAGTGGTTGGAGAGCGCGGAGAGGGGAGCTGGGTTTGTTCAGCCCGTGGAAGACAGAAGGAAGAAGGATCTCAGTTACTGTCTACTACTACCTAGTGGGTGGAGAGGATGGTGTCACACCCTGCTCAGAGATGACCAACAAAAGGACAAGAAGCAATGGACACAAGTCATAGCAAGGGAAATCCTGACTATATATAGATTTTAAAATCTTCACAAGATCAGTTATTAAACAAAGCCTTAAGGAACCAGAAAAAACTGATGTCAGCCCTGTTCCAAGCAAGAAATTGGACCATGTGGCCTCCAAAGATCCCTTCCCCTAAACTGGTGTATGAGTCTGTAATATTTTTCATGCAACATGGAGAAGGAAATTAAAAAATGGCAGTGAGGTTAACCACAATTCCAACATTAACTGCATGATCCTAAATCACCTTGGATCTGTTTGCAATGCATAATGCTCCAAAGTGGCTAATACACTAGCTAGCACCTCAGATGCAATATAAATATGAAATTGCAGCATCCATCCAGACTAATTAGCACACATGCAGATTGCTGCAGTGATATTGCTTCACTGCCTACTCTTTTGAAGGCAGCTGGCTGAATTGAAGATATGTTCTGAATTGCTCTGTGTCTCAGTATTTAATTCATATAAGAAGAATGATCATTCTACCTTGTTTAGATTCCAAATACTTCAGGGGAAAAGATCCTCTTTTATCACAAATAAAAGAGGGCAAGACACACCTTAGGGCAAGTAGCAGAGCCTAAACTCAGGGTCATGCTGTGCGGTCTCACAAATAAAATTTCCAATAATAACAATATCTTAAGAAGACGATCCAAGAGGATTTGATTTTCTCTTCCACCCAATATTTCATAGCAAAAAATTGATTAAAAATGTAAGTAAATGTATCTTTCAAATTGTGGAAGAGTACTGGAATTACATATATTGCATCTATTCTGTAAACTAATTATTCTGGCTCTGTCATTTCCTTGCCATGGAAGTTACAGAAAGACGTCAGTGACTTTGAGAAACTTTGTATTTGCAGGCCAACACATTTGCTGCTTTCTTCAGTAAAACTATTTCCCTATAATTTTGGTATTTATTCTGCTCAGTGGAGAAATGTCACTGGCAAGACACATTGGAAGCAGTTCAAACAACAGGAGAAAACCAAACAAGCTGCAAATATTAGCTACAAGCTTTTGATTAGTCTTTCTAAGATTTTGGAAAATGTAACTGTGGAAATGAAATTAACTGGTGTTCTCAATCCTCCAGATAAATGAATCAAGGGAGTTGGCTAATGGACTCAGAAAATTAAGGTTGTATTTGTTTTCCTTCATTCTGTGTGTGCAATTATAACACTATTTAATGAGTTTGTGCTTCTAGAACCTCCTGACCAAAATGATCTGAAGTCATAACTAAAAGTTCAGCAGCCAGAGAGGCGGATTGTAACATACCAAGGCAGCTACAAGTAGCAGAGCACAGAAAGATTGTAAAAAGTTGGGGTTTTTTCTGTGTGATACTCCAGGGACAGCTTTAATTCCAGGTAAGTGTCAACAGATCAGTGACAGCCACTAAAAATCTCAGAGTTTTTACATTCATCTCTAGGAGAAACACAAACACTAATCTCTCTGGTATTCAGCCCCCCATCAGGGTTGATCCAGCATTTGGCCTTTAGCTCTCCTAGAGAAAGACAAGGTTGAATCAGCCGTTTTAGATTGTCCACCTATGGTGGCTGAATCCTGGAGAACAAGCATTTAGGCTTAAACTGACCAAATGGAAACATTTTTAATCCTTCCTACTAGGAAAGCAGGAAAAAGTACTTTTAAATTTCATTTTCCATTACATTTGAAGGCCTTATCTAAGATAAAAAAGAGGGCCAAAACAGACCCATCACAGCCTTTCAGTAAAAATGTAGACCCCACCGGACCTTCAGTACAATTCTAGCTAAAGCTTCTGCTATCTTAAGGGCTGTGGATTAAAAATATCATCCAGTATAGCTCAGTTTCAGCCTACACAGACAGTTACAGGTGAACTACTTAAACAAGCAGGTGGATAGCAGCACAATGTTGCCACTGTTTCATTTTAATTAGCAGGTTTGTGTTAGAACACATTCACCAATATTTTTGTCTATATCAGGGAAATAGGGAGATCCTATTCAGTATAACCATCAAGAAAATTTCTATGTGAGACAAAGTTAAAGGTGATTTATTACAGGGTTTACAAATACAGCAGAGATTCAGCTTTCTTCAGACACTTCTGAAATTGTCCCAAGTAGAACCAGCAACGGCAAACTATTCAACTATCTGGGGCACCAGAAGATAGTATGGGGCATGTTTTGCTCAATGTATGGGGTGTGTTATCACCAAACACAACCCATACATTGAGCAAAATAAGAGAGACCCCACAGTCTTTGTCAATCAATATTCTCAAACACAGTTTAACTGCCTGAATAGATGCTAGAACCCATGTGATTCAGAAGTAACCAATTTTGATATATTTTATAAATTTTGCTTTCTAGTGCCCTTTCCAAAACAGGTGTTGCTAAGAGTTTGACTCTGTCATTGTCAACCAACCAGTTTGGATACAGGATTATGTCCAGCTCATGCTGTCCTGAGTTCCTTTACAATAATAAATTATTTTCCCACAGCTGACAGAGTTTAGTGACCTCTTCAACTTACCAAGCTGGGCCAAACATGAATCTGCTAAAAATATTGCTATCCTTTGTTCTTCTTCAAGTCTCAGTGGGTTTTCAATTGGGAGTGATCTAACTGAGTATGCACACTGTGGCAAAGAGCATTTAGCCATGCAAGAGGTTCCTGAGTTATCTGATGTGTCTGCTGGGAATTATAAAAATGTCACTTCAGGGGTATAAATTTACATCATCACATAAAAAAGAAGGTACTAATAAGAGACCTCTTCAAAAACAAATACATTTAATGTCTATGAAGAAAAAGACTGTCATAATTTGGAAGCTGAATGTTGACTTACAGATGGAAAGACCCATTAGATCATTCATTCCCTCTCTTTGCCAAGACAGAAATATATCCTAAAGAACATTTCATACTCTTCTGCCCAGTATAATTTTTGTAACATAAGTGCTAGTGTTTCTATTGAAAACCTGATTGCTTTATAAAGTGAGCACAAGAGATTGGCATGTGCATATGGGAGCATTAAGTCAAAAAACAGTGGCTTGAGACAGAGAGGGCATTGAGACAGAGAGGGTGTGAGTAGAAATCTAGAACGAGCTATTGGTGGGCTGATCACTGATAAATGTTCTAGTTAGAACAGACGCACGTAATGACTACACAACCATTCCTTGGCATTCATCTGTCCATACCCATTTCCTATCCGAGTACTTCAGCTAGACTCATAAAGCAAGAGTTGTTAATCTATTTTAGGTACTTTAGGAGGGAATGAATCATGCCCTAAAAGTATCTATTTCTCACCACTGACTTTTAAGTGAATCAGGAAGGGTCTGACTTAGACAACTGTAGTGTGTATGTGCAGAAATATGTTGGAGAGCTGAGGCTCCATGCTGTTGCCTAATGGGAGCTTCCTACTACCTTCATGTAGGTGGCTATACCAATTTACTTCAATGCAAAAATACTAATTTGTGGGATGAATCCCACACCTACAATTAAATGCGGCATGAGTCTCATTCTCTGTGACCATGTTTGCATAATCATCCTGCTTTCCTTCCTAATTGCTCACCAGTTTTGCTTTAGCATTGTGAAGGCCCAAAAAACATTAAGCCCTTGATAAAAGTGAGAATTAAATGGCCTTCTGAAAAGATTTGGTTCTCTTCTCTCCACTCCAGTGGACTAGTGTGTCACTCTAAACTATAAAAGGGAAGGCTTGGGTAATTAACAACTGCTTCACCAACTTTACTCCCCGTGATGTGCTGGATTTCTGTGTTAGAATTGCATATTTGCCTTTCTGTTACAGAGGAAAGGGAGTTCCAAGAGCCACAAAGATCAAGAAAGTTGTTGAAAACATACCTGCAAGAATGATGGACAACTCCAGTTCAAATGATGGAGCATCTCTGGTGCCTTCCCTGAGACCCAGAGGGATCTCAGAGAACCCAAGGTCCAGTGTCAGAGAGGTCACTGCAGTCAGTCATACACGTATGACATTTGGAGAGTTGCCATCTAGCAGCATATCCCTGAGGGTAGAAATGAGCTCACAGAATTTATAAACTTCAACAAAAAGGCAAAACTTTTGTCTTGCTGTAGCAGTATCTTTTCCATCATATGTGTCCCCATGCTAGGTGCCTCTATTTACAGACGACAGATGAAGCCGGCCTGGTACCCTTGGCCCAGGCAGTTGCTCCAGAAAGGTAACACCAAGGGTCTGCACATATGAAAAAAACAGTCTTAGAAAGAAGTGGTGACTTTCCTGCCTGAAGTCTCCTCCTGCCTCCTGAATGTAGCCCACATAGAAAAGATGAGGGGCTTGCCTTAACACAATAATTTGCATTTGTGGTTTTTTATTAATTAACCAAACTTCTCAGCAATTTCTTAAATAAATGTATGTAAAAAATACAGTATTTCATTAGGTGTTTCCCACTTTACATGACATACATACAAAAAATTTGTAGTTGGTGAGTAAAATGCTATTCTGAGAGCAGGGAGAGCACACAGACATATCCCTGTCAGAAGAGCCCACAGATATATCCCTGTTCAGATTTACAAGGCGTGGATCAGTGGATCTGCTCTGACAGATTATGTATTTTGTTTCTTTATTAACTGTGCATAATTTTTACATTCTGTTCAAGTTAGCTTATGACAGATAAGTACTTTTTAAAATCAGATCTTGAGGCAAAGAAATGTCAGTGTGAAGGAATAGAGACATTTAATATGCATTTATTACGTAAATAAATACTCAAGCTTCTCAAAAGTGTTGAAGTAAATGACACACCTACTTAAATTGGTGAATTCATGGTGAGTACCTTTAAACAGACTTACTTTTGAAGTAAAAATACCACCAAGTATTAGACATTTCATGAAGCTGAGCTAAATTAATATTAGAAAAAATATCACTCTTACATTTTTATTACATATTGAGCTGAATCTCTCTTCCTCTGAAGTCACCAGGAATATTAACATCTATTTAATTAACTTGAAGCAAGATTTAGCCTGGAAGAGTTATTTTACCATGACTAAAGGAGAAAATGAAGTCTGAAATTCAGCTTTTCCAGCAAGGCACTGAACTCGGATCCACAGAAATATTTAGACATCTAAATATTCAATCTCCCACTGAGATAGACAAGAGATAGGTAAATATATTTAAGAACCTGGAATTCATTAGCTCTGATCCATTTGGACACAAGAAGTATTTACACTCTCTCTGAATAGCAAGTAGAGCAATGTGTAAAAATATCAATATAAATCAGTATTATAAGAAAAGGCAGCTTATGGGGTCAAAGGGTAGATATAGGTCTAATTGTGTTAGGAACTCACGTTTTAAAAAAGGAACTCGCTGTGGCAACTACGTCTAGATATGGACAACACTGGACAAATCAGACCAGTGAAGAGCTTTTTGCTTTTATTTCCAGCACATCAGTCTCAAGACATACAATGGAGACATGATGTTAACAGTTCGCTGATCCACACAGAATGCCCCCCGAAGGTGGGGTGATACAGAATGATATAAAACTATCTCAGTTTAGATTTCAGCTAATCATACATAGAACAACACATATTGACAAGCATTTTATCTAATCTTATAAAACACAGGTAATGGTAGTTAAAACAAAGACTGGTTCATAAGAGACAAAGAATAGAGTTCTATTCATGCTAACTTTCTAAAGATATACATTAAATAACTTTGTTGCTATCTTAAAGCTAATTTTACAGAAGCTTATTGTTATTTGTTATGTATACTCTACTGCTTGAGAAACTTTTGTTTGCTTAAGAAACTTTTCTGCTGTATTTGCAATGCTAACAAAACTTCAGTCTAAAGCTTGTACTTTTTAAAACTATTTCTTAAAAACTCTCTAACTTTAGAGATTCTAACAGCAGCTCACCCTCTGCAATGATGAAGGCTGGATTAATTTTCCAACACTCATTATGAACCATGGGAACTCATATCTACCAACTGGCAGCTATGTGCAATTCAGTGTTCAATTTATGTACTTCTAAAAACCATCTCCTGCAGAGCACCAAGGACTGGCTGGCTGGAATTACTCTGCAGGAGAGAGCCAGCCAAGGTGCCACCAGTGAAACACTTTGTTTAAGCCAAAGGTGACATTCTGATCTCAGTTACACCAGACCTAATCAGAGGCTCAGAGATGCTAATAGATCAGAATCTAGCTTACTGTAGGTGTAAAGACTGTGGTTGCTCACTGAAGTGTCTCAGATTTCTAACTGTGTTGTTACCAGGACAGTTTTCAATTACAGGCCTTTATTTTGAGTGTGTGCTATAGAGATCTGTGCGCACCAAGGTGATGGGATTTTTTTTTTTTTCCAGAAAAATATGCTAACTGAATGAAGGGAACTTGTTTTTTCCACTCTTTTTAATCCTGTTTTTTAAAAAAATTATGTTGTGCCAAACAAAAGTTCAATGTCTCTTTTATTCACTTTTTGCTTCTTTGATCCCCAGTACAACTTGTTCAAATCCATAATCATGGCATAATTTAGGATTTATTCCCCACTGTATATTTTACAAGTCTTCCATTATTTACAGTTTTTTAAAGATACAATCTGAAATATAACCTTATCTCAAATTCATTTTCTCATATATGGTGTTTATGGCGGTACAAAAGGATTCTGTTCTCACAGAAGTTCCTTCCCCACATTATTGCCTCTCACCAGAACCACAAGAGGAAATTCTCCTTGAGATTCTCAAATGTTATCCCAAATGGAGTCTGGAGTACCAACTCAGTTGCTACAGAATAGAGCTTGCAGTGTGTCTAAAGCCTGCAGATTTCAACAAACATTGAGCCTTAGAGAGTTTTGAAAAGGCCACAGCAAATTCATGCGTATTTGACTCCCCAGCTCACTACCATGCCAGTGGAACTTTGTGGATGTTGCCATCTTTGTATCTATGTATCTCAGATAATTAATTAGAAATAAGTACGTTTTAGATGAAGTATGTCTTCATATGTGTGTCATAAGTATGACTTCAGATGAAGTCCTATTTGCTAAAGCCCTCAGAGATAGATGAAAATCTCACTGTAGCTCTGCTGCAAATATTTTTCAAGACTTCAGTGTTTGTGAGATGACCTGAATTCCACAATTGAGATTGATTCTGACAAACTTACTGGCAAACCTCACATATTCAGCCTTGTATTATCCTCTGATAGTGTGACAGACACTGCTGAAGAGCAAGTGCTTTACGAGATGACGAAATTAAAAAAAAACCAAAACAACAGCAAATCAAGTCCAGTCTTCCACACAAGCAATCATTCCATGCTCTCAAGATGCCAGCATAGCTGACAGAATACACATTATCCCTAGCAAAACATCTGAGCATTTCAGTCACACTGAAGCAGAAGTTTCTGCATCCAAACCACATTTAAGGTGGCTAGAATCCAGCTGTGACACAGTTTTGTTAGGATATTAAAAGCACAGTGGTGCAGAATATAGATGAGATACTGTGCCAAAGAATAGCTTTATCGGTTTCAGCAAAATACACCCAGAAGACACCAAGCAGTGGAACACCATTATTGTAAAGTAAAATAAATATATATTATACAGACTCTGTCAATTTATGGAGCTGCTGGGATTGCATTTTAATGCAATCTATTCATTAGAACTACCATGAGTAAGAAACTTTCACTAATATAGAAAAAACCAATAATCCTGCTACAACTTGGAGGAAGTTATCAGAACTCCTGGTGGAACAGGTATGGCAGAGTGTATGAGATACTGTACCACAAAGGGTAAGGTAAAATCATTAAAAATCATGGTTTCACCACAGGCACAGACAGAGACCAAAGAATTTATGAGTCTTGCATAAAAAAGGATGTTCTAACCTGCATATTTAGCTTTTTAACTTTTACCTATTCCAGTCATCCTTGCTGGCTTGTTCTTGAAGAATATAAAGAAGTTTTTATTTTGAACGTAGTCTTCATTAAATAATTTAAAAAAAAAAGTAGCTGTGAATGAGCATGTGATATAATTATACCAATTTGGGAGTTCTTTAGTGGTAATAACTATCCTCAGTAAATACACCTGGAAAAAGGGTATTAAAAATTCTTACAACAGAGGTCCAACTGCCTTCAACTTTTTCCTCAGGTGGTAATATACAAATATATGATGTATAAATGAGTTAAGGAGGCAGAAGGTGTATTGTTAAGTCTTACATCTTTAACCACAGTGATTATATTGATAGCTTGTAAACCTTTGCCCAGGTTTAATTTATTCCCTTTTTGCTAATTTACAAAGCAAGAGACACAAGTTAAATGGAAGCTGAAAGGAAATGCACGGGCAAAACAAGAATTACAGAAAGATGCTGAGGATGGGATTCACTTACCTGCTTATAAGCTTCTAATGCCATCTTAGGCAGCCCGGGGACTATCTGGGGATCATCTCTTTGTTGCCAGCTGCCACCCTAGATTGGCACTACTCTTCTCTAAGTCCTGTGTTGCACCTGCCAGCTCAGTGTGGCTGTCTGAGATATCCTGGGGTGCTGAAAATAGTAATGGTTGCTTATATTTAAGTTAATTAATCCCACCCTGACTATTTATGCTCAGCCATACACACCCTCTGTCCAAGATAGGCCCAGGGAGGGCTGTGCTGAGGAGGGAAGGATGGAGACACCCAAGCCAGTCCATCTGGCCCAGCTCTGGGCCTGAAACAACAGAGCCCACCCAAACTGCTGTATCCTCCCACAGCCCCACTGTGCTACAGCAATTTATTGGTTGGGTCTTTTGGTCTTTGACAACTCAAGGATCTTGCATGATGTTATGTTACATATTGTGGAAAATGCAGGGTTAGGAGAAACAGGAAATTTTTGGATTCCTCTCTGCATTCTGTCTGTATAATGAGGGAACAGCCCTCAGACACAGGTGGCTAGGAAGACCAAGAAAGAAATCAATATATATTTGTGGCTAGGAAGTATGTCCCAGTAAAATGAGCACTAATGACTCATCATCTCTCTTTGCTTCTAGACTATGTATTTGAGGCTTTTTAGTTTGGGTGTTTGCTTTTTTTTCATGTC